TTGTTGGTTAGATGTTTCTTTTCCCTAGCTTTTACTTTATGCTTTAGGATAGTCCCTCTATCTCTTCCCATCTTCTTTAATTTCAAACATCTTCTCCCTCATTTTGAAAACACTTCTTGTTTTAAAAACTTGAACCACTTTCATAATAAACTTGGACTTAGGTCCATGCATTTTTTTAAATCTTTTCTTAATCAAACATTAATCAATTTAACAATACTTGGACATTTTTGTGAGAAGAATAAAATTCAATCAATCTCATTCAAACCATTTTTGTCACTTTGGCTTTTACTTTAAAACTTTTCTCAAAAAAGATTGGAATCTTGTCAATCCTTGTAGTTTTGAAAACAATTATACTTCTACAATATATAGTGAAGAGAGATGTTTTCCACTTGGGTGTTGAGTAAGGTTTTGTTGATTTTATAATCCAAGCCATATCCTCCACTTTGAGATGATGCAAATTCTCACTTCTCATAATTGTGGGTAGTAAGTATGTTTTCCACACGGACAATGAAGATGATGTCTTATCTTATAAAATTAACCAACACACTTGTTTTTTAAAATTTTCAAAGAGGAACTACGTGTACCCTGATCCCCTATTGCACGGAAGGTGGTACGTAGGCACTAAAGGTTTGCAACCGCGGCGGGTGCAAAAATCATAAAAACATTTCTTTTCTCACCTCCACCATCTATTTTTATAAAATATTTTATAGCCAAAATATATAGATTTTTCAAAGAGGTTCCTATGGAGTACTGTAGATGCTTAGGGTGCTAATAATTTCCCTTTGCATAACGAACCCCCTTACCTAGAATTGTTCCCTCTCTTTTGGGTTATTCGTTCTTTTCCCATTCCTTTGGAAACAACAAAGCACGGTGGTGATTTTTATTTTGATTTGTACAAGTCTAGTCAATCCAATGGCTTAGTCTTAAACATTTCTACCACTACACAAGGAGTGGTACATTAGGGAATTCCCCACAGCGGTCAATAATAGTGACATCTGCCTGAGATCGAGAACACCAATGGATATCCGAATGAGCGAGTGACATCAACCTTTGAGACCACCTCAAACCTTGTTCATTCTTTATAAATGATTGGGGCAGGTGCGAAATAAACCACCTGAACAGTAGAGGTATGCAACACATAAGAGTTCTTCGCTTCTTCATAGTACGAGTGTGAAGAGAATGCAACAAATCTCCAAGCAAAGTAGGTACGGGATTATGAGTGAGAAATATTTTAATGGCATTCACATCTATGTGAAACAACCGGATGAATAATCAACTGATAATAAAATCAATGAAGTCGCCACTGAATGTTTTTATCCCACGCGAAGGGAGAGGTAAACATTGATTAAACCTGAGAAGGGTGAAATCACGATTGAACAACCGAGAGATCGGGTAAGGGAGTCGTTTACGTGAGAGGAAGTTATTAGCACCCTACACGCCTATAGTACTCTACGGTATCCACTCTTGTTGTCTATCTTATGGGTGTGTTAGAATCTATATCTAGGCTTAAGAGCTAAAAGAAAATTCAAAGAGGGAATGCATGCAAAAGAAAAGACAAAATAATGTAGGGATAAATAAAGTTGTGCTCGCTCAGGCCCTACCCTGATGCCTACGTATCCTTTTTGAGGAATCAGAGTTATCGTAGTTCGACTCACATGTTTTGATTTGTTTGTGTTTTTTAATGAACAATGTTAAATTCAATCATTCCACTATTGATCGACAATTGGATACTCACGCATCTGTAGTGGAAAGGAAATAACATTCTCTCACCTAAACAGGTGTTTTCAAAAGAAAAGTTTCCCGAGGGCGGATGATGTTACATTCATGACTCTTAGCAAGTAGACATGATGCAACCCGACCCTTAGGGAATTGTGTGTCGTATTGCATAGGGTAGGAAAATAACACATCCTTTTCAAGTTTTGAAGAAAGGCCCCAAGGCGGAAAAAGTTTGTATTGGTTAATATTTTTTACCTTGAAGAAGGATTTGAAAGTTGTTAGATGTTTTATGAATTTTCCAAGAAAAGAGTTTTAGTCTTAAATACAAGGATACAAAAATAAAGAAAAACATCTAAGGGAGACTATCTAGTTATATCCCTAATGTTATCATACAATGATTGATCCTAAGGTTGAGGATGAAAGGGGAAATCTCTACCCTAAGTTGACATGCATGGATTACAATCCTAATGTCTAGCTCACAAGCTACTCTAATCGAGCAATCCTAAGGGAGCATACAAATTCCTATTATAAGAGAACATGGTATGTACAAGGATAAAAAAAACAAGAAAGCTCAAAAGAGCACACACATGCCATGAGTAGCGCACAATAACTCGGGTAAGTTCCTAACCAAGATATAACCGATCTAGGTAGGTACAAAATATAGTAGGGATGCTTTAGCCAAGGGGTCATATCAACTGAGGCAAACAAGCGGGGAGGGGATAGAAGAAGAAAGCCTAAAGCATCAACATCGACCAATGTGAGCTCAAGACAAAATGTGGGGGATCGATTACAGATCCCTTTTCCACTTGACGACTCGATAACAAGATCTGTACGACTCTAAAGAATCGATGTACAACGTGAGATAAGGATGGCATAGACTAGAATGTGCGGGGGTCAATTACGGACCCTCCATGCTTGCCTCCTTTTGAGGACTTATCATATGTAATATAATGCGGGCACAAATGTAAACACACGTGCGGAATGCCTACTTTAAAGGCAGGGTTTTAAACAACCACAATTAGCATACAGAAAGTGGTGCCTCCTATAGAACTTTAAACAATGACTTCGAGCGCACGCTATTTATTTCCTACTTCCTACATCACATGATTTCTAGAAAGCGGTAAATGCCCCTACTATACATGATCTCTAGAAAGCGGTAAATGCTGAAATGAGGTAAACGAGAGAAAATACCAAATGAACAAAAGATTGTGGCGCCGCGAGCTAAAATAGAGAAACCTAGAAAAATTTGAGTAAGCTTCAACAAGAAAAGAAAAGAGTCATAAATCAAATGCTCGAAATGAGTTTCAAGGCATCATTGATGTGAAAATAAATCATGATCGAAAACTCAAGCATATCTGCATATCGCATAATAAACATGCATAAGACTCAAATCTCAACAAGCAAAGGTGAATTACAAATCTCAAATAATCGGATAATCCCGATTTAATTCCTAAAAACAAATAATTAAAAAAATCTAACATTTTTTATTAATATTTTTGTTTCATCAATATTTTCCTTTTTAACAAAAATTGTTATTTAACAATTATAAAAAGAAAATTACTAGAAACTAAGTAAAATCAATTATAAGTAAAGAGGAGTGTGCAATTTGAACCCAGGGTGTGGCTTTAGTAACAGGCGCTCAGGCCCAACTAATATAAGGCCCAAGAGAAATTTTTTTATAATGCATTCAGGCAAAAAAATGCATCTTGGGCTCAAAGGGTGTACAGGCCGAAATCCAGGGGTTTGATGAAGAAACTAGGCGCTAGGCCCAATCTGCAATGTCTAATAACCAATTTTTGTTCCAATCTCTTCAGCTCCAAAAATCGTGTTTGGGCCTAAGGAAACAGTGTTTTTGGTCCACTATAACCATTAAATTCATTTCCCTTTTTCTTTATTGGAAATGCAGCATTTGAGTTCTCTAGGGTTTGTAACCTTCCATATGTTTCAAACCCACTGATACCTCATCCTTCTACATTCTTCAGACGCGACGGTGGCCAACTTCTTTATCATCGGTCCAACCCGAACCACCATGGCCTCTTCTAACCTTTCGTCATCATGATCTTTGTAACAAAATCTGCCATCTCAACCTCTTCCACTCTGTTTTTATTTGCTCATCCATTCTCTCAAAACACCACCGTGCCGGAATTCGCTCCGACAAAGGTGACCTCCCCAAACCAATGCAAATAAATAACATCTTGATAATAACCTAGCTTAATTTTAGCCTCTGAAGATGAAATTGGCCTCGGATTTTGTTGACCTCTCCTCAGTTGACGAGATCGAAGCACCAGAAATCACAAACCCTAAGTCTACTAATGTTAGGGATTCAAGAAAATTGGGGAGGTTCAACGCAAGAGATATTTATCTAACATGGAATTGAAGCGCACTTTAAAATTAAACCTGAGAATAAATTTCAGCTCTGACGATGAGTCATGGTATTGCTTCTCCTCTTTACTTCTTCTTGTGTTCGTCGTTCTCGCGGTTTTTTTCCAGAGTTGTAATGACTGTGTTTCTGTTGCTGAACTCAGAGTAGTGGGGATTATATTATTGCTGATGCATTGCATTGTTGATGATGCAGATATGGTAGGAGATTTCAGAAGATGATGAAGATTTATGATGAAGATGCAAGGATGATGATGCTTGCAGAGGTGAGAAGACGTTGAAGATCTTCAGAGAAGATGAAGATTGTTGAAGTCTTGAGATGGTGAATGAAGAGAGTGCAGAGAGATTTTTTTTGGTGTTTTTAGTTTATGGTGATTCTCCAAGAATGTGAGAATGATGAAGATTAAGATGAGAGGGGGAGAAATAGTTTGTGATTCTTCATAGAATTGAAGAATGAAGATTGAAAGGTAACTTTCTGTTATTTATCTATTACGAGTTTGTTAGGATTAGAATTCCCCTGAGCCATTGGTTTCAATTTCTGTTATAGGAAATGAATAGTGATATCAGTTATAAGTTCTTTGACAGTTAGAGATCGGTTGGTTAATAGTTAACAAATTTGTAAAACAGTTTGAAATTTTGTTTGGGTGGTTACAGTTAAGAGGTAGTTTTAGCTGTTAGAAGGTTAGCTGTTATGGCAGTTAGTGAGTAAGTTTTAACTCAGTTTGAGTGAGTTGGAATATCCTGATTTTTTTTTTGAATATTTTGAGCTGAACTGGTTTTCTTTCCCTTGAAATGATTTTTTGTAGATAATTGTTTTACTGGCTTATTCCATCTAATACATGGAGATTCTGATTAACTGCATGTGGTCTTTTAGGAGCATTGTCAGTATGTTCCAAACCAAGATATTACTCCCAAGCACCATAAACATCTCGCCTCTGAAAACGACTGGATACAATGTCTGAATTCTGAAGGTACTCAGGGCGCCCAAGTGATAGAAAAGCAAACTTCCACTTGCTAAACTCTTCACCAGAAACTTGAAGTTTCTTCTGTATTCTCAATCTAATTTCAGATAGAACTTCACCTTCATGTATAACATAGAAAAAAGGATCTCCAAAGTTTTGAATTTGCATTTGATTTTCAGCAGGGGAATTGGTTTAGTTTGCTTGAGTGCAGGACTAACATTTTCTGATGTTGTAGGGCATAACAGGTTTCAACCATGAAATAATATCATGAAGGCAGCAAGTTTCGTTTTAGAAGTAACTTTGGAGTTTTGGATATTGATGGAACAATGCTTGAAGGAATGTCCTTGTGATGAAGCTTTATGATTAGGTCTAGCGTAGATTTCTTTTTTGTAATCTTGTATGAACATATGAATGTATTTCGACATCTTGTAGCCTTTCATTAAATGATAATGATGAATGATGGATTTTGAAAGGATACTGTCTGGATAAATTTTAGATTTCAAACTTTCCTTGATGTAATGTCCTTGTGATGGAAACTTCAAAATGAGACGACCTTTGAATGATTTTAACTCTTAATGAAACTTTTGAATGAACCTTGCATGGACTTTGAATGATGAATATTGGAAGATGAAGAATGATATTGATTATTACTCACTTCAAATTTGAACTGGAATAATGATGATGAACATAATTATGTGTGGACCTATGGACGATGAATTTGAATGGATGCATAAGGCCATGAATAAGGATATTCGAAACTTGGAATTTTAGACACTTTAAATGAATACGATAAATGCCTTTTTATACTTGAACTCCAAGAAATCCACACAAATGCTTAAGAACGTTCAATTTACTTTGATTAATTTTTAACTCAAATCTTCTTAATATATCAATGAACAAATTCCAACCAACTTGCATCTTCAATGAATCCCTAATTCCACGCTTCACTTACATCTCAAACTACCGTGAAACCCTAACTTGCACACCCAGTGAACTTTGAACCTTACACGCTTTATTGAATGCAATGTTATGTTATGTGTGATCGGTGGATCTGGAACTGACTGTTTAACGCTGGTTCGCGAAATGTCGCGGTAAGCAAGAGTCGCCACCGTCTTTTATTTTCTCCAACATGGACAGGACAAAAGCACAACAAAATTCCTTATGAGATTGTTTCTCGGTTCGGGAGGTAGATTTATAGAAAGGGAAGGTGTTAGCACCCTTTCTATCCATGGTTATCCATGGGCTCTTAGATACTTGCTCATTGTGTTTTCAAAATGTTTGCTTTTCAATTGTGAGTGAGTTTGAAAAAGTTTCTTTTAAAGATTTCAGAATGACTCTTGTATCAGTCCTCAAGAGTGTTTGAAAAATTATTTTGAAAGCTTTTTGAAAGTGTCGGTGTGAAAAGAGTTTTGTTTGTTTTGAATAGAGCAAGTATCTACGATTCATCTACCTACCCTAAGGAATTAGGCTGTGTAAATGTCCTTAAGGTAGTGCCATCCCACCATTGAGAGGTAGGTAGCACCACCGTTGGAGGTGTTCGGGTCAATTTGAGGGTTAGGGATAGTGTGGTCACCAGAGCAACAGTAGGACACCTTAGAAGCTACCCTTATGCCATGTTCATGGACATAAGGACTTACTAAAACATCCTATACTCGACGACCACGTTTCGAGGGGCAAGGCAACAGTGAGGCGTACCCTAAGAGTGGTGTGTGAATTGTGTGTCATTTTCAGTTATGTTTTATCTTGATCATGCATTGGGTGAGCTACGCTTTGATTTTATTTGGGTCATTCATTCTTTCATGTGATTAGCAGTTTAAAGGTGCGGAAAGTAAAATGCGGAAAATAAAGGTCCTACGCTATTACAAGGCGCGAGTCTATACATCGCCAAATTAACAAAGACCCGTTTTTTTTAATAAAATGCAGAAAATAAATAAATTTCCTAGTTACTATTACAAGGCTTTGGCAATTACATAATATTTAAAACGAAAAATAAGAACAAACGCGCGAAAATAAATTAGAATCGAATATGCGAGGGCGTTGGACCCTTTAAAGAAATTTAATTGAAATTGAAAGTTAATTAATGATTAAATAAAGGAAAGAAGTTATTTTTTATGTTTTTTGTATTTAATGGAAGTAAAGAGAATTAATTAAAATTAGAAATTAAATAAAACCCTAGTTCTAAATTGTTTTTAATTATTAAAGAAAAAATGTTTAAGTTTTAACCTAATTTACCCTAATTAATTACTTACATGTTTATTTACAAAATAATTAATAGTTAACAATAATAATAAGAAAAATTTATTTATTGAGAAAAAGAATAAAAATGCTAACAAACCTAATTTCTACATTTTTTTAGTTATTTAAGAAAAAGATTAAAATAAAACCTAATTTTACTAAATTGATTATTAAAAGATTTATTTACAAAAATATTGATGACTTTAAATATTAAATAAAACATATTTTTTAATTTTTATGATTTCTGATTTTTTTTGTATTATGAAAATTAATTTTGGTAGATTAAAGAAAATAATTAAAAGAATTTAAGAAAGAAAATCAAATAAAAATAAGTGAAAAAAAGTGTAAACCATAGGGTATTCAGACCCAATTTGGGAGGTTTATTGAGCAATTTGGCCCACTGCAATCCCAATTTGACTTTTTATGGTTGCGTGTGCATCAGTTGACCAGCGTGCATGGTGGAGTTCATGTGATGGCCATTAGATTGAGGCTTCTGGGCGCGTGGCAAGCTAGATGGTGAGGACGCATGATGGTCCTTGGATGGTATACTGCATAGGAACACGTTAGAGGAAAAAATATTGAATAAGTGGGGGACCTGGGAATCGAACCCAGGTCCCAGCGTTTACCAAATGAACGTCCAACCATCTGAGCTATGCGCGCGTGTTGTATGTGGGATGGACAAAGAACGTAATATATGAAAACAAAGGTGATCATGCTGAAACAACAAAAACGCGCTAAATTTTTGAATGGTCCAATCACGTTCATCCACGCTAGCCGTCTTCTTCCTTTTGCACCTGTAAATGATATCAAATAGCGGGGGTTTTAAACCCCCACTAAGCTTCAACCTGAAAAATAGCGATTAGCATATGAGTAAACATAAAAAGGGCGCGAGGTGGTTGTTCAATTCGTCCTGATGCCCTGATTTCAATGGTCCTGGTTTGGATGGCTAATTTTTCCTCAAGCGTAAAACCCCAAATCTGGAGCTCTGAAACCCTAGCGAATGTCCATGGCAACTTTTGATACAGGCAATATTAATTCAATTAAAGGACACCAATAGCTTCAGAAAGTTCATGTTAGTGTAAATAAACAACAAAAATGCATGAATAAGGCATGAAAATGCAAACACGAATATGCAAAAATTTATGAACAGGGTGATGTCGTTCTACCAATTCCTTGAGTATGGAGGGTTGGTTTCGATTGCAAAAGCTTCCTGGTAGTGTCAGGAGTGTATTGGAATAGCTTTTAGGCCTTGAAACAACCTCTATGTATGAAAACAGTTTTCAAGATTTTTGTGAAAAAGTGCCAGTTTGTTCTTATATTCTGAGCGCAGCTTTTGTGTCTCAGGCATTAGGGTTATGTTTGCATATGTATGTAGATGGAATTAGGTTAGAAAAACCAAGCCCAAAGTCCTTGAATCAATGCTTTGAATATTTGATTTTGCATATCTTTTTCAATCCTTTTTGCCATGGAAACTTGCCTATTTTGGAAGATTTTGTCTCTTGGGATTGGTACACGAGATATTGAGCATATAATGGATGAAAATGCTGCACAAAAAGATTCAAAACACGTGATTTAGTATTTTTCTCATAATTAATTTTAATTAAATGAATTAATAGGATTAAAAATTCAATTAATTAAAAAATAAGAAAATAACTTCCTTTTAGCTTAATGGGTCGTGCATGGCTTTTGGGTAATGATTCATGGAAGAAATTGAAGCCCATTAGCAATTTTGAGGCATTTGAAGCAAAGTTGACTTTTCAAAATTCCCAAAAATTTCCCAACTTCCACAAGGCATATCTTGCTCAATTTTTAAGCTTTGATCATGTTCTTGGACATTTTTGAAAGGTCTTGAAGTCCTCTAACCAATGCCTTTGGTCCCATGTCATATTGATTTACCAATCTCAAGTTATGGTCTTTGACTTGAAGTGCCTTTTTGTTGACTTTTGAAAATGACCTATAATGTTGAGATTGATAACTTTTTGTGAGAGCATTTCTTGGACTTGAAGTGTGAATATGAGTTGCAGGAAATGTCATTCTCTTTTAAATGAGCTTTGGATGGAATTTTTCTGATAAACCATGTGGAAGTTATGCCTTGGTCAATTTGCAGTTGACTTTTTCAACTGTCCAAAAATAGAAACTTTTGCATCTTGAGACTTTTTGAGCCATGCCTTGAGAATCATGATCAAGAATTGATCAAATGATGTTTGTGACTTCAAAATAAGATGTTGACCAAAATTTTTGACTTTTGACTGTCAAATGACCATTTTGCCCCCGCAGTTGACTGTGAAGCATTTAGGGTTTTTGACTGTGCAATCTGGTGTTGTGAGTCTTGAAACTTGGCATATGGATGCTTGACAATGTTTATAGACATGTGGGACTTGTTTGGACCCTTGGAAACTTCAATTTCTTTGCCAGAACCAAAACCCTAATTTTTGACTGTTATGAGGCAATTGAACTGTGCAACCCTTGGGAGATTTTAAAGCATGCTCTTAGCAAATCTTGAAGAATATGGGAGGGCAAATTTTGGGGTACAACAGTTGCCCCTGTTCAATCTTCTTAAACCTGAGGATATAGATTGGCTGGCGTGCCTTTCTTAATCCGAAGGTGGAAGATGATTGAACACTAGAGTGCCCAGAAATTTGCGCTCACATGTTAGCAGTATGATGCGGGAAATGGGCTTACGGATGCCATTTGGAGACTGATGGATGGGAGAGATGGGCTTATAGATGCCATCGGGAGGTTGTCGATCGCGTAAGAAATTCCTTAACGAGAACTTGCGTACCTGAGAAAGAAAAATAATTACCTGGCCTGTTACAGGAGTTGATCTTCAAACTCTTTATGTAGATGCGCCCTGGCTGGTTACAGGAATCGGATCTTTAAACTCTTCAGACGTGCCCTGGTGAGATACAGGAATCGAGTCTGGAGAATACAGT